TTAGGTGATGTGCTATATTTTCTGTTTTGCACTGTCTGATAAACCTGTTTTGTAATTTTATTTTATTTAGAAAATTGGCTTGGTTCAGTACTATCACTGTCAAAGTTAGGATGAGCCAAACAGAAGCATTCAACTTTATAATGTAATTTTGGTCCCTATCTGGTCTAATTTCTTGCCATTGCAGTTTAAACCTATTGTCAGTAGGGTTAATAAGGCTCAATACTATTGAGCCTGCATTGTCAGTGTTTGGGGAAAGCGCCTGCGTCAGAGCTCACTGTCCTAGTATAAAAGCACAGGCTGCTGCAGCAGCAAGCAGTCAAAGCTTAAACTTGAGCCCTTCCTACAGCTCTGCATACACAAAGAGGAGAGGGATAGCAGCCTGTCGTCCTACCACTCAGCCATGAGTAGTATCGGGTATGACCCATACTACTCCACCTCGTCATATAGACGCTGGTACACTGAGGCTCCCTCTCGTGTGATGGTGACCAGAGGGAGGACCCACTCTGTCTATCCCTCTCACACTTCCCCATTTTCCTCCTCCCGTGTGCAGTACTCCTCTCCCAGCCGGTTGCTGTTATCCTCCTCCTCACCAGCCTCTTCCCTGGAGTTGGAGCTCAGCCAGGCGGCACATATCAGCTCTGAATTTCGTACCATACGCACCGAAGAGCGCAGCCAGCTGCAGGACCTTAATGACCGCTTTGCTGGCTTCATTGAGAGAGTGCATGAGCTGGAGCAGCAGAACCGTGCCTTGGAGGCAGAGCTGCTGCTACTGAGGCAGAGGCACACTGAGCCGTCCCGCCTGAGAGCACTGTATGAGCAAGAGGCCCGGTCCCTGAGAGCAGCTGTAGATGAGGCCAGGGCAGAACAACAGGCTATCCTGGGCCAGAGAGAGCGACTGGAGCAAACCCTGAGTGCCTTGCAGGGTAGATATGAGGAAGAAGTGCTGGCCCGTGAAGAGGCTGAGGGCAGGTTGATGGATGCAAGACGTGAGGCTGACCAGGCTGCCTTAGCTAAGACCGAGCTGGAGAAGAGTGTTGAAACTCTGCTGGAGGAGCTGGCCTTCCTCAAGAGGATTCATGAAGGTGAAGTATCTGAGCTTCAGGCCCAAGTCCAGCTAGGTGTCCAGGTGGCTGTGGAGTCTGAGGCTGCCACTCCAGACCTCTCAGGTGCTCTAAGGGACATCCGGTCCCAGTATGAGAGGCTGGCAGCAAGAAACATGCAGGCAGCAGAGGAGTGGTTCAAAGGAAAGGTAGGCTCCCTGACTGAAACTGTGGCCCAGCACAGCAATGCTATAAGAAGCTCCAAAGATGAAGCAGGAGAGTATCGACGCCAGCTCCAGGCTTGCCTGCTGGAGATTGACGCATCTAGAGGCCTCAATGAATCCCTGGTGAAACAGCTGCATGAGATAGAGGAAAAGCAGAGTGCTGAGATAGCTGCTATGCAGGTCAGAAGTGGTTGCACAAATATTCTATTTTGATGTGTCATTAGTTATTCAGATCTTTAGATTTTTAGGGCATTAATATTTAAAAATGCTCCTTTTTAGGTTTTTTAGGTTTTCATTTCATCATATGACATGCTATATGCCCTTGTCACTTATAAAAGACTTTACTTTGTCTTCTGTTTAGGACACAATTGAAGAGTTGGAGAGTGAGCTGAGAGGCACCAAACAGGAAATGGCACGATACCTGAAGGAATACCAGGACCTTCTAAATGTCAAGATGGCTCTGGACATTGAGATTGCTGCATATAGGTAAGAAGGATCAATGGGATAAAACCCTAATTTTGGAGATTAGGATAAATGTGCTGTTCACTTTCCTCACTTTATATCAAATACCATAGTAGATAAAAACTATACTTTTAAAGAGAGCTCCCATCACTTTTCTTCTCAACAATTTGTACAGGAAGCTGCTAGAAGGGGAGGAGTCTCGCTTCAGTGTAGGAATGGCTGGTGGAGTTTCCTCTTTGTACGGCCACACTTTGTCAGCTCCCTCCTTCGGCCGGCCCATTCTCACTAGCGTGAGCTCTGGCACCTCCTACCTAATGACATCTCGCCTGCTCAGCTCCAGTGTGAGCACCACTGAGGGGATTATCTCTGCCGGCCACGCCCAGCAAGCAGCAGCCAGTCCACCCGGGGAGGAGGAGGAGGAGGAGGCAGAAGAGGAGGTAAAGGAAGAAGAGGAGGAGGTGAAGGAAGAAGAGGGAGGAGAAGAAACAGAGGAGACAAAGGAGAAGCAGGAGGAGGAAGAGGGAGAAGAGGAGGAGGGAGATAAGGAGAAAGAAGATGAAGATGCAGCCAAAGAAGAAGATGAAGAGGCTAAGGAGGAAGAAAAGGGTTAGTATATTTTTTTAATCTACAGCCTACTGTACTTGCTTATGATGGCTAATTATAGAATTCTCATGTATTGATACAGGTGGTGATGAGGCAGAGCCAAAGGAAGAGGTGACAGAGGCCACTGAAGATGAAGAGGAGCAAGAGGACAAAGGAGACAAAACTGAAGCCAAAGAAGAGGCTCAGGAGGAGGAAGAAACAAAAGGAGCTGATGACAAAGATGAGGGTGCAAAGAAGGAAGAGGAGAAGGGAGAAGCAAAAAAAAGCGATGAGAAAAAAGATAAAGCTGATGACAAGAAAGAAGACAAAGCTGCTCCAAAACAAGATGACAAAGCTGATGCCAAAAAGGAGAAAGATGAAGAAAAAGCTGAGGAGGCACAAGAAAAGAGCACAAAAGATAAGAAGTAAGCCAATAGCCTCCGCAAACCTCTGTCCAGACTGTCCACATACAAACAGCTCAGTAACCAGTAGAGGCAAAAGCGCTTTCCTCTCAAATCTGCTTGGTAACATGGTGCTCAATAAAACACTCCAAAAGCCATTTACAGCAACAAAAGTCAAGATTAACCGCTCACCAATATCCATTGCAGTCCATAAAGTCTGGTTGCACAATTCCTAATGAGAGTAGCACACCATGTGTAAATGCTGAATGCAAAAGTGAATGTGTGACCTTTTGGTGTTTAAATAAACACTTCTTAAAGCCACATGTGTCATTGATTTTAAGTATGGTGAAACAAACACAAGTCTTGATTTAACATTTACCTCTGTCAAATAGTTGAAGTATATGTATTTACAGTGCAGTTTTTGTGAGAGCTGAGGACATCTGATGCTCTACACTTGTTTCTGATTCACCTCGGGTGTTCCTGATTTTCATGAGACTTTTAAAAGCTAAAAAAACAACAGAGTTCCTCTTAGAAGTGAAAACTTCGATTCATAACCAGTAAATAGATTTCATTCTTATGGTATGTTAACATTATGACTTGTAGTTTAATGCTAAGAACTACTCAGATTGTTTATTTAAGCAAGAATAGCAACACCACAGTGTAAAGATACTTTGTTTCAAGTAAAGCTTGCGCTTTCAAAATTAAGGATAGTCACCTTTTATTGGCCAAGTATGTTACACACAAAGAATTTGTTTCCAGTACAGAACCAAGGCAGCCATCTGCGGCGCCAACTCAACCGATGGCTAAAATGTCACCTACTTAAAAGTATACAAGTATTAGCAACAAACTATATCAAAAGTAAAAGTACTCATAATGCAGAATGGCACAATTCACATTACTGTATATCATATTATTGGATTATAGTTACTGATGCATTATTATAAACATCACATTTAATGCTGCAGCTGGTAAAGGTGGGGCTAATTTTAGCAACCTTATATGCCTATAAATTGAGGTACTTATCATACTGCTGGGTAGCTTGTGAATTTTCCACCAGGGATAAATAAAGTCGTTTGATTATATTGTATTTTGTTTCATTAATCTCATTCTGAAAAGTGGCTTTAACTAATTAAAGTTATCAAATAAGTGTAGTGACTACAAAGTGCAATATTTTTTTCTGAAATATAGTTAAAGTTTGATGTAGGAAAAAAGGAAAATACTCAAGTAATGTACAGGTACATTACCTCAAAATAAGACTTGAATAAATGTAGGCCTATTTAGTTGCTTTCCACATCTGGTAGTTAGTGCTAGCAAACATATGATAAGGATACGATACAGCTGTGATAAGATATAAAAGATATAAGATGTAATATATAACATAAAAGATCTAAGAAAAAAGATAAGGCTGTGAAACCAACTTTATGGTACTGTATGTATCTATTTCTGCTATTGTTATACTCTAGCACGGCACAGTGGTTTTATTACAAAAGTAAAACAATTAAACAGGTTTGAAACATCCTAGGAGATCTTCGTTGTTTCCAGCCATAGACTTTACACTATATGGACCTAGTACTACTACTCTTGGCTGCTCCCATTAGGGGTCGCCACAGTGAATCCAATTCGCATGAGTAATTTGACACGGTTTTATGCCAGATGCCCTTCCTGATACAACCCTCTCTACTTATTCTGGCTTGGGACCAGCACAGAAACCACTGAAACCCCTGTGGCTAGATACACAACCACTCCTGGGGGCAATTTAGGTCACCAATCAACCTAAGCTGCATGTCTTTCAAGAGTCAAGAATCTTTATTGTCATTATGCAAAGCACAACGAAATTTCTTCCGGCAGCTCTCGGCTTAAAAGACAGACATATTATTTACATAACACACAATTATATAAGTCAATATAAAAATATGAACAAATAAAAAAGGATGTATGGGACCTAATCAGGTCAGCAGCGTGTTACAGCAAGAGTGTAGTAACATTATAAGGTGCAGCTCAGTGCAAATCTCAGTCTTTAGGAAGAGGTGTGAGGTCCAGTGTTCTGTGTCTGTCCACAGGGGGGAGGTTGTGTGTGTGACTAGGGGTTAGGGGGGGTGATTGATTTCACAGCTCTGGGGAAGACACTGTGTCTCAGTCTGTTTGTTTTAGTCTTTATATTCCTGTACCTTTTCCTGGAGGGAAGAGGTACAAACAGACTGTTGCCTGGGTGGGTGGGGTCTGCAGCAATCCGTCTGGCCCTCCTCTGGATCCGGTCAGTGTATAGTGAGTCCACATCCAGAAAAGGACTCCCTACAATGCCCTGAGCTGTTCTCACCACCTGGGTCAAGTCCTTTCTGTCCTGTGCAGTGCAGCTCCCGTACCACACTGTCACACTGAGACAGAGGATGATTTCTACTCTCGCTCTGTAGAGGTTTGCGAGCAGCTCAGAGGAGAGACCAGCACATTTCAGCTTCCTGAGGAAAAAGAGCCTTTGCTGGGCTTTCTTCACCAGACAGGATGTGTTCAGAGACCAGGTCAGGTCAGATGTGATGTGGATGCCCAGGAACTTGATGTTATCCACTTGCTCCACCACCTCCCTGTGTATGAGAAGAGGAGCATGCTTTGTCTTCCTGGACCTCCTATAATCCACAATGACTTCCTTAGTCTTGTTGGTGTTCAGGACAAGATTGTTATCTGAACACCACCTCGTCAGGTGCTGGATCTCCTCTCTGTAGTGAGTTTCATCATTGTCCGAGATGAGACCCACAATGGTGGTGTTGTCTGCGAACTTCACTACTGTGTTTGTGGGGTGAATAGCATCACAGTCATGGGTAAACAGAGTGAAAAGAACTGGGCTGAGCACACAGGCCTGTGGTGCGCCTGTGTTCAGGATCAGTGTAGATGATGTGCAGCTTCCGATTCTCACCACTTGAGGCCTGTTAGTGAGGAAGTCCTTAATCCAATGACACATCATGGCAGGCATTCCCAGATTGTGTAGTTTCAGTGCCATTTTGTCTGGGATTACAGTATTAAATGCCAAACTGAAGTCAACAAATAGCATCCTGACATAAGTGTTAGGATGCTCCAGGTGGGACAGGACTGTGTGTAATGCTATTGAGACAGCATCCTCTGTTGATCGGTTCTCTCTGTAGGCAAACTGATGGTTGTTCAGACCAACAGGGATGACATCCTTGATGTGCTTTAGGACGATCCTCTCAAAGCACTTCATAATTACTGGTGTCAGGGCAACAGGGTGGTAATCTTTGAGGCAGGTGACAGCTGGTCTCTTGGGCACAGGCACAATGATGGAGTACTTGAGGCACACAGGGAATGAAGCAAGATGCAGGGACAGATTAAAAATGTCCAGGAAAATTCCTGCCAGTTGGTCAGCACATAGCTTCAAAACCCGGCCTATCTGGTCCTGTGGTTTTGTTGGTGTTGATCCTCCTCAGGTGCTCACCTGGTGTAGCTGCAGGACTGGGGGCTGGTGCTGTTCCTTAAGCTGAGGGAGTTGTATAGTTACTCTGCTGCCACGTGTATTGAAGTGTGCAAAGAAACTATTCAGAGTGTCAGGGAGGGTGGGATCATGGCTGACCTGCTGGTTGTTGCCTCTGTAGTCTGTTATTGTTTTGATGCCTCTCCACATACTCTGTGTGTTGTTATTCATGAAGTGCCCCTCAATGCGCTGTTTGTACCTGCGTTTGGCCAGCTGGATGACCTTCTTTAGTTCTTTCCGGGCCCTGCTATAGGCCAGCCTGTCACTTGATCTGAAGGCAGCGTCCAGAACTTTGAGCAGAGGTGACACTGTACTGTCCAACCATGGTTTCCGATTTGGAAAAACCCTGATGAACTTTGTAGGTAGGACAGCATCAGTACAGAACTGCACATAGTCCAGAACAGCTGATGTATAAGCCTCCAAAGTCTGAGCCCTCTTTGCCCGTCTTTGGACGGTGGGAGGAAGCTGGAGCACCCACAGAGAACCCACGCAGGTACAGGCAGAACACGCAAGCTCCACACAGAAAGACTGGAATCCAGAACCTTCTTGCTGTGAGGGGACAGCGCTAACCACTGTCCGCCGTGCCACCCTTTTACAGTATATGGACCATTCCACTCAAACTCAAGGTGTCATTATCCTGTGATGACTACATTACCCACAGTGCAACCTGACCATCCACAGCTGGCCTGGTGTGTTTTGCCAGTATCGGCTAACCTTTTGGCAGGGCTTTGGGCACT